ACTGCGATGTATAATGGACTGCAAAACGATCCAGATGGTTCAAAACATGTCCAAGAACATGGCTAGTCTATCCGGGCCACCGTCGAAGGTAACTCCAATAGGGGGAGGTATCCATGGCATGCCTGTAGGCCACATTACAACTGGCTGGCCTGCTTGCTGTCCACCACCCGCGCCAGATTGACGTCCAAGATCTTCCGGCCCCAGAGGCAGAGAAAGAGGGGTAGTACAACTGGCATGTGCAGCTGTTGCGGTTGTCCCGCCCTGGGGTCCCTGTCTCTGCTGCGCCGTTGTTAACCGCAACCTTGGACTCGCCAGTCTGAACCCAGAGGAACCAATGGAGGGTTGGGAACCAGGGACCGCCCCATGTTTAGGAAGGAATCCAGTTTCACCAAACCTATCTCTCAATACGTCCAAGGTATATTGACCGGGGGCGGTGAAGTAACTCCATTCCTCCTCCTCATCTCCTGTTATCCGCCTTTCCCTCCAAGCTGATAAAGAGTCTCTCTCACCGGTCACAGACAGTTGGCCAACCTCCAAACACTGTAAGGCAGGACTCAACCACCATTCCCCCACCTCCATCGACGCTGGCTTCTGTCTTGCTTCTGTCCCCACATCCACCACTGATGGATATGGACGTTCTTTCGGGCGTACTACTGGCACATCCTCCACCACAGCTGGTTTTGCAACTGTGCCTTGCTCTGTTGTTTGTTCAGGAACGTCTCCTGTTGGAGCAATATCTTGCACCCCTTCAGCCATGCCTTTCCTGCACAATCCCCAGTTAAACTAGGATTATGTGAGTGCTAACTTACTGTAACCTCGTCCTGGCTCCGGGCCCAGGTATCACCACACAAACACCACACCAGGTATGAGGAACAACGCTTTAATATACTTCTTACACAGGCTGCGCAAAGTTAGCACTAGGGATCAGTTCTCCCAGGTGTGTTTATATACAATTTATTGTTGCCCCACCTTTCCCATACCCACACCAATGCCCATGCAGCACCTCCCATATTTCTTACCCCACCCTGTTCTCTTATAACTGGTCATTAACTCCTAACGCTTCCGGATGACGCCTCCAATCAGCTGTAGTGCGGGTGCTTGATCGGCTTCGGCTCCATGGCCACGCATGCGCAGTCAGGGTATTAGGCTGTCAGAATCCTCTGCACATGCGTGGCTTTGCCCTACATCGTTCTAGGCACCAACTGCACATGCTCGGCAATTGGACTGTGCACGCTCTCATCATCAGTTGGATGTCTGGCCTCACAGATTGCCGTCGTCAACGTAGGAAGCTTGCTGGCCATTAGGTGAGTATCCGCAGCATCTGGAGCGAGTATATAGGAGCACCCTCCTCTAAGGCCCGACACCACTTTGGAACCTATGTGGGTCCATAAGTCACAGGGGGTGAGCTCTTCAAATAAGGCCCACCTCCTTGTAGAGAGGGCTAAAACAAGATGATCTCAAGGAAAGAAGGGGCATGGTCTGACTATGACAAAAAGGCTACTGTCAGATCCTGCACCAGATCATATTGACACTGCCCCAACAAGAAAATCTTATCTGGGATAAACGCTTGGAGAGAATGGGCCTTGAAGGTCAAAAGACACTCCTAGATAGGAGTTACCACCCTTCCTCCAATCTCCTGGGACTTCAGCCAAGCATTAAACTCAGCTGAATAGATCTCCAAAAGGGGGAGTACCCCTTCTGGAGTCAGCCAGGTCTTGGTAATGCATGCCAGTTCAGTTTGTTCTTCCCCAATTAAATTACAGATAAAGGGAAGGCTTGTATATAGCATCACCATAAACACCTGAATAGCCAGACTTCTAAGGGTTGGCTATTCAGACTCTGGGTGTGAATACAGAAGGCCCATATCAAACATCAGGGCATCTTCCCCTATAACTCCTGCCCTCTGGCAGGTTTTCGTAGGTGATCCATCATCTCCCATCCTGACTTCCCTCCTCTAAGGACCAAAGGGTCTGCTATTCCCTGGGTCAATCAATTCTGTAGGGCCCAGGTCACCTTGCTCATCCCCAATTAAATCATAGATAAGGGGGGAATGTTGTTTTTTTAACCAATCAAGCATTACCCTGAACAGCTGAATACCCAGACCTCTCAGGTCTGCTGTCCAGGAGCTGGATGTGAGCACAGAGTGTGGGTATCAACATCACTCCCCTGTAATGGCCTTCCTGCCCTCTGGCAGGTTTCCATAAGTGAACCATTACCTCCCATTCTTACCTCCTTCCTCTAAGGGCTAAAGGGTCTGCCCTTCCTTGGGCCAACCATATACTGGTTAACTGTCCTAGTATAAGCTCTACATACTGGTTAACTGTCCTAGTATAAGCTCTACGGATGGGGAAGAAGGAATCTAGGCGGCACTTAAGGTTGGGTTCTCAGTCTGAGCAAAGACTCCCTGTGTACACTGTGTTCTCCCCAACAGCTGATCTCTGTCACTGGCCTGCAGTCACTCAGCACATTCATTCACTCTCTGCGCCTAACATTCACCCTGGGTGGAAGAGTAACATACATAAAAATCTTCCCAGGTTTTCATCTCTAGGACAGGCTCACAAGTCCTGTGGTGTCATCTAGGGTCTTTTTCATCACTGATGTCTCCTTGAAGTTGCATGTCACATCTGGGCATATCAAGCACTAGCAGGGTCTGGCCATCCACCACATTTCCCATTTCCCCAAATGCTACCTATTTATCTACTCTCATAAGCATGCTTTTAAACTTGCTAGATTGGCAAGTGAGGCAAGTGATGGGAACTCACTCTAACATGAGGTTCTAGGGCTGAAACCACCAGAGCAAAGAGCATTTCCAGGGTCTTCAAGCCACTGAGACACCACACTTCTATATATCTCATAATGATCAAGAAGTTTAAAAACTGTATTCAACAATATCTTGAGTGCTCGCTCCTGTTTGGCATAAATTCCTGTTCTTCTTTCCTAGAGCCTAGAACTCTGAATTGCCATTCAGCTATTTAAAAGATTGAATCTGTTTGCTATGTCCTTTTGATATGCAAAGACTTATCTAATCTGCTTAGAGACGAGGCCCACTCTAGTGTGTTTGAATGACACTATAGGTTTCTTATAGAGTCTTTGCAAGCTAAGACGAGTAGCTTCTGGCTCAGATACTTTGCAGTATATCTTCTACAGCTATGAAGTGACCATTTTACAACTGATAGGTGATCTCATTTTAACCATTGTAGTAATGTACCAGATGGTACCTACATTCTTTGATTTCTGCTCCTCTTTGTTTTTTGGCATGTAAAGTGCATGTAGTGAATGAGGAATGAAGACAAGCTTAGAATACTGGTTGACCAATATTATTTTTTGTTTTCCCTCATTAGCCAATTGGAGAAATCACCATGGTGATAGCAACTACAACAGCAATACTGTTGTAGTTGCATGAAAATGCTGCTAAGGGATTTGAGGGAAGGAGAAGAATTTTCTTTTAATTATCCAGAGAGAGCGAGCTGTAATTTCTCAGCAAACGTGAAAAATGTTTGGCAATAAAGCAACTTATTATTTTTTTTATCATAGCACAGTCCCTAAATAAGCAATCAAGAGAAATTCTCACTTGAATATCTAAACTTTCCAAAACTGGAGGAGAAAAATAATATGTGTGTAATACAGATAAGGAAACAAAGGACTTCTGGTTTCATTCTATTAGTTTATGTCTTCTTTTTCTGTTAGAAAAAACTCTGTTCACTATAAGTTAAATTATTTTTTCCAAGCAATTAATTTATATAATCTGCTTTATTTCAGAGGAGAACAATGCATCTTATTATCAAGGGTATTATTCTAATAGCTTATTATAGACATAATAAAAGCTAATCTTGCAATTGTACAAGCATCACTGCTTACTTGCTCCTTTGCACAAGGGGAGTACTTATGCTCTCAAAGTGCTAGAGAAGGAATTGCTAGGTAGTGGATTTTTTTTTAAAGAGACATATTGAGAAGTTTCTTCTTCTTCTTCTTCTTCTTCTTCTTCTTCTTCTTCTTCTTCTTCTTCTTCTTCTTCTTCTTCTTCTTCTTCTTCTTCTTCTTCTTCTTCTTATTCTTCTTCTTCTTCTTCTTCTTCTTCTTCTTCTTCTTCTTCTTCTTCTTCTTCTTCTTCTTCTTCTTCTTCTTCTTCTTCTTCTTCTTCTTCTTCTTCTTCTTCTTCTTCTTCTGCCATATCCATTATCGGATGTTGGTGATCATGTTGGCGATCCTGTTTTTATCAGCAGCCGCACAAAAAAGTGCTGCTGAGTTTTGTCCAAACCAGTCCCTTAGCTTTTGAAGCCATAATGTTCTTCTTCTGCCTGGACCTCATTTGCCTTCAATCTTTCCCTGGAGGATTAAATGGAGTATGCCATATTTTTCTGGTGTCACATCACATGTCCGAAATATTCTAATTTTTGTTTTTTAATTGTTTTGATGATTTTCCTTGGCTTTCCCAGGTGGCTTATCACTTCCTCATTTCTGATCTTGTCAACCCAACTTATACATAACTCATTAAGCTTATTGTTCTGTTTTCGGTACATTTCTTTGCATTTATTTTTGGGGGGATTGTCACAAAGATTGATTTTAGCCAATCATTTGGTATCTTTCCTGTTTCATATATCTGATTGAAGAGCTGCAGTAAAAAAATCTTCCCATTGTCTTCCAGCAATTTTAAAATTTCTACTGGTATATCATCAGGTCCTGTGGCTTTTCTTGTTTTTGCATTTTTATTGGACGTTCAACCTCTTCCATAATTATATTTGGTCCAGTTGTTATACTTCCCATATCTATATCATCCCGTGTCCTCAAAAAGTTCTTCAATATATTCCTTCCATCTTTTTAGTTTTTCATCCTCATCTAAGATAATTTCCCCCTCTCTGTCAACTAAATTGTTGGTTTTCTTTTTGTAGAGGCTTGCTGCTTCTTTCACTTTTTTGTGTAAATTGAAACTATCATGTATACGTTCTATCTCTTCTATTTCCTTGCATCTCTTTGCAAACCACTTTTCTTTTGCCAGTTGATTTTTTCTTCTAATTGTTTTCTGGAATTCATTGTATTTTTCTTTTTTTAATTTTTATAAGATCTTCTTTCAGATGAAGAATATCCTCTGTCATCCACTGTTGTTTCTTGTGGTACCCCTCTCTCTGTTTTGAATTTGTTACCTCTACTATTGCATTTTTAAATTTATTTCAGTTCGCTTCTACATCATCATCATTCAGGTTGTTGGTTTCCCTTAAATGATTTTCTACTTCTTCTTTAATCTTACCTCCATGTTTAATGATAAAGTCTCTGTCGATTCTTGGTTTAGCAGGGTTTGGGTTTTTCATCCTTTTTAGTTTCAGCTGGACTTCAGCAAGTAGTAGATTATGATCGGATTTTATTGAGTTTCTAAATCTTTTGTTTATTGTAAGATAGTCGATTTGGTTCCTTACTACATTATTTCGTGTATCTGCTGGTGATCTCCAAGTGTAGAGGCATCTTTTTGGCAACTTGAAGAAAGTATTCATCACACTTTGCCTATGTTCCTTGCAGAAGTCTAACAAATATGTCGCCTCTACCATTTCTGGTTCCTAAGCCAAAATTTTCAACTACAGGAGCATCACTTCCTTCTCCCACTTTTGCATTGAAGTCCCCCATGAGTATTGTGATATCATTACTTTTTAGGGTTTTCAGTACATTGCTTATATCTTCGTGGAACTTCTCTAAATCCTTCTAATCGCTGTCAGCTATGGGAGCGTAAACTTGTATAACATTCATATTTATTGGAGCACTATTTATTTGGATCATTATCACTCTATCGGATACAGGAAGTCTTTAGACTTGATGCATTTATTTACACGATTGTTTACAATTATAGCTACTCCATTTCAATGGTGTTTGCTATTCTCACCAGAGTAGTAGATAATATAATTTCCTATTCTACACATTCCATTTTCAGGCCAGTGCATTTCACTCACTCCCAATATAGAGATATTGTATTTGGACATTTCTTGGATAGTGTTGTGTGTTTTCCCAGCTTTGTATAGGCTTCTCAGATTCCATGTACCAATTCGTAGTTTTGGGCTTATCATGCTTCTAGTGGATCGGGAGATTCTTAGCACCTTCTTCTAATTTGGATGTTGGGTTGAAATATATATTTCAAAGTTTTTCTTTCTCTGTAGAAAGGAGGGCATAGAATGGAGGATAGAATTTAGACAGTGAATTTTAGGAGCTTAAACCACAACATATCCAGTTTGGCTCTGGATCCAAATCTGTTTTAAGAAATGAGCCAAATTTCTCATATTTATTTTATATTATACAGAAGGATATGGAGAGAAAAAGACTAGGAAAAAATATTTTTCATATACAAATAAAATTACTCTTACAAATAATTTAATGTAATGTTTTATAATTATTAACTTTTTTTCTTAGTTTACCTGAAAATAAGAAAAAAATAAACTGGATTTATGGATTTCAAATTTATGGAATTTCAGATTTCTAATAACCCTCCAAATTCAACTTGTAGTAACGGTGAGATTGTTGTGTAACTAATGGACAATAAATACTCTTCCAGTTTGTACTAGAAATTATTTTGGGATCATAAAATATGATTGATGAAAATTTGAAGTGTGCAAGATCAATTTCTTTTGACCCCTTGTTAGTATCCACCCATTATGTAATCAAATATATGCAAATATATACAAAAATCTTAAATCATTGCAAAAAAATACCTGAAATTTCTGTCCAAAAGGAAGCCACTATAAAGAATGCTCCATTTTTCTTTATTTTGTGGTAAATATAAAATATTTTCATTCTATTGTTCATTGATTTAAAGCAAATAATATGAAGTGTTTGTATATCTATATATTAATTTATGATTCAATCAATTGATTAGATTTTTAGATTTTAGAGATGATCTGATATACAATATGAATATCTGCCACTACTGTATTAGGCTTATCTATCTATCTATCTATCTATCTATCTATCTATCTATCTATCTATCTATCTATCTATCTATCTATCAAATTTCTATGCCATCCAATGACTCTGGACAACTCATAGCAACTAAAACAGAAAAATATAATAAAGGCCACTATAACGTAAGCACCCTATGTATTGCAATCTCAGATCGGATTATATATATTTGAGTAATATGTGAAAATCCATTTGACTGAAGATTTATGATCTCTCATTTTTCCATCAATCCTTGAGTCTGCAACAGTTTCAGCATATCAGATGGCAGGTAATCCTGAACTTACACTCACAATTAAGGCCAGAATATCTGTTGTTGAGTAAAACAATCATTTAGTGAGTTGCCCATGTGACCACTTCATTCAATTGCGGATGTTTATCAAGGGAATTCACATTTTGGGTTGAGTGAGGGATCATTAAGTCTGAACTTTATTTCTGCAACCCAATGTATTTTCTCCCTCCCCTCCCCTCCCTCCCCCATAGAAGGCAAGAAAAATCTTTTGGCAAGTGGTAGCAGCTTGCAACCTTCTCTACTAGCTTCCCATTGACTTTCTGGGAAAAGTAGCAGAGAAAATTGCAAATAGCAATCACATAATCATGGATACTTGGCAACCGATCATAACTGTAAACAGGTTGTAAAACATACAGATCATGATCATATGATAATGGAGGGGGACAGTGTTTTATGATGGTAGAAAGTGCTTTACATACTGTAAATTATCTTTTACAAGCCATTATAACTTTCATAAATGACCGGCTGTAATTTGAAGGATATTGCTGCTGCAAGTATTTTCTTCTACTGTATACATTACCATGTTTTCTCTAAGAAATGCTGCAATTATGTTTAAAACTTCTCCCAATATCATTTTTTTATTCCAAACTTTACTAATTTTTAAAAATTGCTTTCTTAACAAATTGTACTTCATGATACTACCATGATGGGGAAGAGGATGGATAGGTGATTAGGATTTTAACATTTGGAATCTTTTGAATTAAGCAAATTAATTAATTATGCAAAATAATGCACACGAATTATTTTCCTGAATCCTTATCTATATGGATGAAGACTTGGCATATGATTCAGCATACATCAAAACAGCAAGGACTGTTCATCTTTGCCTCCCTAGGTGAATGATACTGGAAGAAAAGAAATCTCAAAATCATCTGCAAATATTCTGGTAACACCAGTCAAATGCTTTCTGAGTCAGTGGTCCATGAAGTAGATGTGTTTGGAATGCCTAGATCTGTTTTTTTGTTTTGTAAACCAAATCCTGAGAATGAACAACAAGGAGAGGGATCAATTTATATCTGCCTTGTTTCTCACAGATCAATGCCTCAAAAGCCTCTTATGCTCAGAAATGAAACTTTGACTCAAAACCTGCAAGCAGACAATGCCTTTTATTCTAAAGGATCCAATATGCTGAATACATATTGCATTCAGTTAATTATTTATACTTTATTTAGGCAGCAATCTGTTGAAAGAGAGAAAAAGAAACCAAAGCATGTTTTCACCTGCAAATGGTTGTCCAACTCATTCTGTAAATGGACTTATTAGATATGCACATCCAGGCTGGTTAAAAACGACCAAATTCACATAGTATTCATTTAAAAGTCAGTTTGTTTTCATTTTGATTAATTACTCTGATGGTTTGGAATGTTATGCAAATTCAGAAAATGGTTTAATTCAGCACCTACATTCAGATTATTGTCTGTATCAAATTATATTTACAGACATGTTTATTATCATTAGGTATATAAATAGTTTATTATCACTTATAAAACTCCCTTACATTCAACATTATTGACATTCATTGTTCTAGCACTGTTGACTAACATCAATGACATTCTTTGTTTCTCCTTTTCCTGCTACTTTTAAAAACTCATTAGCTCTGTCTGCTTGAACCTCCACACATCCTCCTGAACATGCAGTAAGATGAGCAACCTCCAGTCTCTTGAACACTGGCCTTTTAGAAAAGGAGAGAGGCTGCTCTGATTCATTTATATGCATAGGCTATTCTGCATGAAGTAAAGAGCCATTTGCTGAAATCCAGTTATACCTCACATATGCTCAAGGTGTATATAGGTAGGGGAAGCAATCTCCAGTCATCATTCTGAAAGAAATTGGAGCAATATTTTACAGTTTTTCAGTTGGCCTAAGGATGTGGAATGCACAACATCTTTTGACCTCAAAATATCCAAACTTTCTTTCTTTCTTCAATCTGTTTCAAGAGTCTTTTGTTTGAGACTGGAGTAAAACTTGATGTTCTATGGGTGAAACAAGACATGATGGTTTCCAGTGTGTTGTTTTGTGATTTGTGATTGAATTACCGGGGGAGCGGGGGGGGGGAAGGAACAGGGGCAGACTGAAGTGAAAGTGTCTTTATAGCTGCTTGCATGCCAGCCTACCTGTGTTTTAACTATTTTTAACTATCTGGAAGTTATGGAAATAGTGGGGTGCTGGCACTGAAGAAGCATAGGTGGCCCGAGGTGATTGGAAGCCTGTTCTTTGGGTGGGAGCTGGAAGGGCTTGTGTGGATGGTGTTCTGGATGTTGCCACCCTCCACCACAGAATACTCTGCTGGCTAGTGACAAAAACCAACTCTTGGGGGAGATGATTTTGTGTATAAGATTGGGTGGAGAAAGCTTTTGCTGCACTGAGATCTGGGGCTTAATTGCTACATGGACACTCTTCCCACATCTATGCCATCAGAGGAGCTGGTGTGAATGTAATTGGATAGAGGATGGCGGAGTCCTTGGCTCTTAGAGGAGAGAAATCAGGGATGGAGGGGGATGATCAACATGGGAGATCTAGGGTGGAACAATATATTCAAGTGGTGACGGACATGGATATTTTAGATGTCAGAGGAGTCAGAGGGCAGGGTAATTACAGGGGAAGACATCCTTGATTGTTTATGCTAACCTCTAGATAGAAGACCCGTAAAGGCCCTGGTATTCAGCTCTGGTAGTGAATACCAGGCTCCTCTCATGTGTGATCTTCTTGGGGAAAAGTAAGCCAACCTGGCATACATTACTGAGATTTAGCTGACTCTGGAAATGGGAGTCATTCTTCTGGAGATGTGCACAGTCAGGTTTAAAGTTTTGCACCAGTCAAGATTTCAGGGCAGGGAAAGGGGATATCAATTGTCATCCAGAAATCTTGTTTGGCCTTCAGAGACCATGCTCCTGAAGTTTCTGGTTATAAGACACTGTTTCTGAAGCTGGGCTTACAGCATCAGTTGGCACTGCTGCTACTCTACCAGCTTCTCTGTTGCCAGTAATCTTTGGGCTTGAGTTATTGAAGGTCATCTCGGGATTAGTGGTAGAGATCCTCAGACTTATGACCCTGGGAGACTTCAATCCACCATTTCTGGGGTTGGCCATGGAAGAAGCTCAGAAATTTATGGCCCATATAGTAGCCATGGGCTTATCTCAGATCATTCACAGCCTGACTTGGAATAGCTCCAGGTAAAATTTTCTTGTTGGAGCACTGGCAACATGAAATGTGGGGACTTGTCTTTATTCTTTCTGTCATGGTCAGATCATGTCTCGTGTCCTTGAGATTCTCTTATGCTGACCCCCTCCACAGGAAGGCAGGACCCATTTAAACAATCTGCTTTGGGCAACTGGTGGAGCCAAACAGGTTCCAAAGGAATTGGGGGATATCTTGGGGCTGTGCTGCACATCCCAGCAGAAGGTGTGCCCACAATCTCAGATTAGAGGGCAGCCAAGAACATGATCTTGACCACATGTATTCTCCTGACCCATTGCTCCTGGCACACACATCTGGTTCACAGAGAAGTTGAGGACATTGAAAAGGACCAAGAGATGCCTAGAGTGCTGCTGGAGGAAAACATGGCATGACAGAAGATGGGTTAGAGCCTGCCATGCTCTCATTCTGAATAACAAAACAGTATTATATCTTTGTTCTTATTGTATATGCAGTGAGTTGCCTGGTAGTCCTGTTCAAGGTCACCCAGTCCCCTCTAGGGCAGGAGGTTCTGCATCAACATCTACAGGACCATGTTTAAGAATTGGTGGAACATCTGATAAAGTCACTCAGATCTGTTCACAGTTGGAGAACAGTTAGAGTCCATTAGAGATGCCTGGGGAACAGTCTTACCCAGTTATCTGGAAACAGTTTGATCCTGTTTGACTAATGAAGTGGATAAGGTCCTCAATGCTGGTGAAAGCCTCCAGGCCAGTGCTCTCTAGATGAATTCAGACAGAGATAAGCATATCCCTGGAAGATGGGACATTCCCAGGACCTTTTAAGAAAGTCCTAGTCTGCCCCCTTTTCAAAAATTATAATTAGATCCCACTGCCTAGATAGTTTTCATCAAATTTCTCACCTACCCTTTCTAAGGAATGTGATGGAAAATGTGGTTGCATGGTAGCTTGAAAAGGTCCAGGACCTTTTGCAGGTTTCAGGCCTGGTTAAGAAATGGAGACAGCATTGGTTGCACTTGTCAATTCTTGGTGAGAGACAGATGAGGATAGTGCATCATTTCTTGCTCTTCTTGACCTCTAAGTTGCTTTAGATACCATTGACTATAGTATCTTTTGGGACTGGCTACAGGTTTGGGGCCTGGTGGCACAGCACTTGTAAATTCTGGCTCCTGTAAGCATTGCTTATAGTGAGAGCTAGCATGAGGAATCTTTCTCAGGATAGAGTTGGATTACAAAACTACAAAAGTCTAACATGGAATAGAACTAGGGGTAAGAATATCTGATTCTTCTGATTTTATGAATTGCAGTTTAACACATGGAAACCAAACACTATTTTTCTTTCACTGAAGGACACTTCATTTAAAAGTAGGTATGTTTTAATCTAATATAACAATTTCTCTATTTATAGAAAAGGCTTTAGGTACTTAAGATTTTATGTTTTAAGAACTATGCAATTCAATTTTCTTCAGGAATATCCATAACCATTCTGGAATTTGCTAGATGACCTGGGGGACTCAAATTACTACAATTCATACCTTATGAACATAATTGTTGGGCCACCATAGAAGAAACTACACACAGTGTGTGTGGAAATAGCTCCACCTTCTGTTCATGTGAAAATATTTGAAAAAGTTTAGAGTACAAGAAAAAATGGTTAATGTTATCTTATGATCCTGGTTTTTGTTTTTTGTTTGTTGATGATCTATTTAAAAGCAGAAGAGGGGAATTTATTTTATTATTTATTGCATTTCTGAACCATCCTTCTCCCTTAAAAAGATATACAGTTTGTAAGGGAAATTTTTTGCTAATATTTCTCTAAGCTTCAGAGGTGCTTTGTTTTTTGTTTGTTGTGTTTGCTTTGGAAAACTCTAGCTTCAGACTCATTTTCCTGTTTAATTTTAATCTTAGAATAATTTTTGAAAGATGACACCTAAAATACCAGAACATATCCCTTCTAAATACATGTCCACCTTCATAACATTAGTACTGCCTGGAAAATGAAAACCCAGTAATACCCTTTTATGAATAAAAATCCAGCTCGCCAAGTTGTTTGCATTGAGCTAAAAGCTTCAGAATGCTAAAAGGGGGAGGAAGTGGTTTTATATATGGAAGCAGAGGAAGCAATATGTTTGCAAAATGATTATTTCCCAGCCACAAGAAATATCAGGATTGCTATTTAATGAAATGCATTATTTTCTATATATCTATATCTAGCTTGAGAACTAGTATAATCTGTCTTCCCTGTAATAAGGCCTACTGTGATAGTTATTTCTGAGGACAATATGTATTCATATTATTGACCCCTTCCGGTCAATAATCCTGTTAAATTTAAATCCTTTTTATTTCGGTAGAATCTAAGCTAAGTCAGATACATTCAATTTCATAATTTCAGAAATCATAGCTGGATGCAATATATTAAGCTGTTTAAAAAGCTATTTTCTATATATCCAAACAAGTCTTTGAATCATTTTTAAAAATATAATACTTTGCAGTTCAGTAGTTAAAGATGTTTTAGTAGTGAACATGCTTGAAATGGGAAGGAAAACAAACAATCTCATCATCCACAACAACAAAAGAGAAGACAGATGAATTAGGTTCAAATTAGTCTGGATTGGCACTCCCAATAATTTCATCTGATTCCCCTGAACCATAAACCTCTGCTGAAATATCTCTGCAGCATCCATTGTTCAGAATGTCTCTGTAGACAAAAACACAGCAACTCATGTCAATTGTTGTTTGATTAAACATTCCCCAAAATCAATCTAGTCCATCACTCATCAATTTCATCCTCTCTGAGTTTCTTGCATTCATGCCCTTCTCAGATTTTTCCATTAAGACTGCCATACTCAGACCAGGCTCTTTTTTCTCCACATCTGGCAGTATTGGACCAGCTTCCAGTCCATTAGACTGTGAATCTAATCCAATTATTATTCTCTGCCTTGGAGTATCATCCAGAGATTGATTTGAAACCACTGCTGGCCCATCAAGTTTTTTATTAAAGTTTTTGAATAAAATTTGTAAGATAAAGAGCATTTTCAAAAGCTTCCTTGAAAGCTTTATCTCTTTTTGTAGTGAAGGTAAACAGTTTTTGTTCCTTTTAAGACAAGAAAAACAGATATACCATAACAAAATGTCCAGAAGTATGAGACAAGTATAGGTAAATTTTCCAAAATAAAAAATGAATTTTTTAAAAATGAATTAATTAATTAATAATTAAATAAAATCAATAAAACCAAAATTCTTATAGTAAAATCCAGTATAGATTTAAATCAGTCAAATAGCTTTCACTTTGGACAGTGTCTATGGAGATTCTCTCCAAGGCACGGTTGTCCCAAAGGTGCTTTTTCAAAAGGCACTTTTTTTTTCCTTGAAGAACTGAGGATACTTTTTGGTTGAGAAGCAAAATGTTTTCAACAAAAAAAACAAAGAAAAAGGGACTCTGGAGAGTGAGTTCTCTTGACGCTGACTTCCTTACAGCGAAAGTGGTTTAGAGTTGTCAAATGGTATGAAAAAGGGAAAAAAAGGTTATAAAAGTCCAGCAAAAGGTTATAGATAGATCCACATTCAACCAGTTGATCAAAGTATAAATCAAAAAGTAAGAAAAGTTTTAAAAGTGCAATTAAGACCCAGGTGTGTTTTTTTAAAAAAAACTAACAGTGGAATGGAAAAAAAATGATAAAAGACTCAACCCTCCGATTATGCTCCTACAAGAGGTCATCAAAATTGCTCCTTGCGGTCATCAAGATCCCTCTTCTCTGAAGGGTATGATTGTCCAAGAATCATCCTAATTCCTAGTGCTCCCATTCAAATCTAGGAAGATAAGTTGCTAAATAACAAGCTTAGGTGGCATAATCAGTTTTTTGTAGATGGGAGAAAAGGAATTGCCCACCACTTAGCACACCATCTTGGGGGAAGTCAATCAGATTATGGCTTCTGTATTGGAGGAAATATACAGCCATATAAAAACCATGGAAAATTTGAGTTTGTCATGGATTTGTTTATTTACTACTAACTAGCATTAGAACATCATGTTCTATCATGTTCCTATTCTTTGTATACTCATGGAAAAATATTATTTTGATCTCTAGTGCTTGAGGTAATACATATCCGTATCATAGCTTGTCGTGAATTTGTTTATTCACTATTAAAATGTCTTGGTAGATTTTTTTTTTTGCTTTTGGATTTTCATTTTTTTTGCATCTGTGTAAAAGTATTATTTCTATAAAGACTTAAAAATCTGTAAAAACGAATTATCAGAAGAATTTAACCATCCCAGCAACTCCTCCCTCTTATTCTTTCTTTTAATCATTTATGTCATGACAGATAATACTAGAATGGGGAAAATGTCCAAGTTCAGATTTTAATATAACAAATGAAAAATAATAAATGAACAAGAGAAAAATAGACATATGGGTAACAAAGGAGAACCAAGTCATGCAAGATTAGATTTATAAGAGATCTTCATGCATGTCAAATCATACTATTATGCCAACTGCTTCAATTTAATCTTCTGAAGATGTGTTCTCAGAAAAGTCATATTTCTGATTACTTTTATAATGTTTGATTGAAAAACTTAACATTGTACAAAGCTTCTCATATTAATACTTGGTGGCAGTATTTGGAGAAAAGTGAATGCCTCTCAAACTACAAGGCAATAAAATAAAATAAATAAATAAACTAGGTTTTTTTCCCCTATAGGCATTGTAAAACTATTTAGGATTTTAAATTAATCAGAAAGGATTAAGGAGTACTCATTGATAAGATTAATGAAAATCTGACTAGAGAATGAATAATTCACCAAGGAGAAGAGTATATGCTCCCAACCGCAAGAGACTGATTAGTTTCTTTGAGAGAAATAAAAAGATTAGTTTCTTTGACAGAAATAAACCTATAGCAGATGCGCAGGACCAAAGGGTTGATGCTAGTAAGAAAATAGGAAAGATGGAGATAAATAAAATAGCTGACGGTGTCTTTAGAAGGCACTTTAAGCATCAAGTTCAACCAATAAGATCTGGTGACCTTTGGATGACTGGAAGAACAGACATTTCAGAGAGATACTGAAATATAAAAACAGAAGCAAGGATGAATAAAGGGCATGGATTTTTTTAAAAAATAATTTTATGTTAGATACTGTATGGGGGTAGATAAATGAAAATAGAGATTTAAGAAACAGCATATCTAAAAAAAAAAGTATTCTCCATTTTCTACCACATAATTGGAGCAGAAAGAGAGATTACTTTAACATGATGCTGAATAGCACTGAGAATAACACATGCAGATCATATTTTGAAAGATTTATGCTAGGAAGAGAGCCCATCTGGCTGTTAACAATAGAGTATGTGGTAGTAATAACGTGCAAGGTATATTTTTGCTACAAAAACAATGCCATATGCCTTATCAAATAAAGAATAATAATGAAGTAAACAATTTGCTTTGACACAGTACCTCATACAGCAGTCCTCTACTGTAGCTCCTCCCGCTTCTGCCAGTGTCAAAGGAGTACCTGAAGTGGAGAAACATGCTTTTCTCAGAAAAGTGAGGAGACTGCATTGCTTCACAAAGTTTTATTGATTCAAAACTTTCTCACAATAAACTGTCCACTCTGGTGGGATAATAGTAGTGGTATACTATACTGTACTATACTAGTTGATATTCTGCTGTGAAAATGATCATAAGTATATACAAGGTACTCAAGGAGAGACAGAGGAAAACTGGAGAGGTAAAGTTAGATTAAAACCCACAAAGGATAAAAAAAAATTGACAAAACAATACACCAGAGTCTTCAGCTACATTGATAGTGAGGAATTTGCAATGATTAAAAGAGATAAGAGGTTACAGTGATGGAATAAAGCAAAGATAAAAGGCACAGATCATTAGAAATCACTTGAATGAACAAAGACTAGTGCATTAAAATAAAGCAGACTAAAACAAGCACTGATCTTATCATCATCATCATCATCACTATCATGTCACATATAACCCAATTCACTTGATTTTTAAAGCTATCATGAGTACAAACTACTTTGAAATGGCATGAGCCAAAATTGTGATATTCTTTTTTCATAGCAATTGGGATCTCTAGGGTCTAAAGCTAGACTGTATACAGGCTTGAGGGACGAGAATGGCAGAAGTGGCCCATACTGTACTCTGTATCTGGTACTTTACCTATCTCTCCTTCATTTCAGAACTTTCCCTGCTGAGAACACGGGTTAAAAATAAAGGCTAAGTATTACTTCAATTACTTGAATTTTGCATGACTGCTCTATCTATGAAACTGTTGGCTTGACCCTTTGGTGGTTATTCCCTCTCTTTTGAGCTATCCTCATGTACTGGCCCTGTTGCTTCTGTAGCTTGATGGCTATGATGCCTAATAGGACTTTCCATATTGTAGGAAAGCTGTTGGATTGTGCTATTCCCTTTTAAGAATCTTTCATGATCACTTCTGTCTTTTATGTTAACCACTCTGAGTGGGAGCCTACTGCTAGCAACTGTACTGCTACATTTTCATGCAGTGTTGTTAGTTTCTTTAGCTAGTAAATATGGATGATGTCTGGATCAGGTGCTGTGCAGCTATTTATGTTTCTTACCTGTTATTGGATATGTGCTACTGTGATGGTGACTGTTTTCTGTTCTAGGAGACTGCTGATGTCTGCTCTCGGATCCTGCAGCCACATTGCACTAGTGTGCCTTCTCTTTCTCTCATATGTTTTTCCAGCATTGTTCAGTTTCTGGCTCTGATGTTACTGTGTGTTGCACAGAAGTTGGGATTACACTTTGGATGGGTTTTTTTGTGGGGGGGGGGGGAAACAAGGCATTTATCTTCTTGGCCTCTGTTTCTCTGTTTCTTAGCCTGGTGGCCAGTGCTGTCAGCCTTTGTTTAGCAGTGTCTAAGGCGTCAGATGGAGTCAGGTCTTTGCATTTTTTCAGTATGGAATCTTATCTTCTGTAGTTTTATCAGTTAACTAACCTCTCTCTGAATTATTTTGATCTTAGTCTTTAACCACATTTTCAAGGATAGGTATATATTTCTGTACTTTTTGATTGTGTAGCTAAGCATCTCCAGGATTATAGCAACTGCAGCGTACACCAGTTCCTTTGTTTGAGTTATAGTGCTTGTTATGGTTCTTGTGAGGGCTCTTTAGCCAGTTTTGAGGTTTGACTGTTCTGTAATAAAGGAGATGGTAGGGAGGAAAGAAAGAAAGAAAAAAGAGAGAGAGAGAAAAAAAGAAAGAGAAAGAGAAAGAAAGAAAGAAAGAGAAAGAAAGAAAGAAAGAAAGAAAGAAAGAAAGAGAAAGAAAGAAAGAAAGAAAGAAAGAAAGAAAGAAAGAAAGAAAGAAAGAAAGAAAAAAGATGACAAAAAACGGTTTGGTGGATGGTGATGTGATAATATACACCATTTGATAGGTACTAAAGTTGCATTTAGTGCTGTAGGGGAAGAGGAAATATTAACAAGGTTAAAAGAGATTATCTCTTTAAAAATGTTACAGAAAAAGTGCTAGTGTTTTCTGATTTCAACAATAAGATGAGGTGATCAGTACAGCTATTTCTTCCAATCATTCTGTAAACAATGTTTGAAAAATTGGTTTGATTTTAACTCACTTTGGGGAGAACTAGATTATTAATAAATCATTTAAAATGGGAGCATCAGGCATGAGGTAATTAAAGCTCAGCATATATACAAGCCAGATTTTTCTTCTTCAAAGGAAAATGGATTGGTGAGGGAAGTTTAGACGGGAAAGCAGGAATTGACTGATAGAAAAGATTAGCTCATGATATTTTGCTAAAGTGATAAACAAGAGAGTACTGTTTCTATGAAATTAATAAATGCTGATGGGACTGGGAGTTACTTTTTTCCCATCACTGACAAAGGGCAGGAATACTAGAAATTACTTTAAGCAATCTAGGATGGGCTTTGCCTTGTTTTGTCCTTTAATATCTGCTATCCAAAAGCAAAATGGTGGAAGAAAAGAACTAATGTGAAAATTACATCAATAAAGATATGTCCATTTACACTGATAATTAATCACTATGCAAGCAACTTGAGTGATCCATCTACGTACTTCTGTTTCTGTTGACAGGATCTAAATTCATTGTGAAGGACCTTATATTGCACACAATCATTTCTGAAAGTTCAGGCATATGACACTGCTTTATTTTCAAAGGACATTTTGTTCCACTTTTCCATGTTTGCTTGTATGATTTTATTTTATTTTCTCCCCTTTACCTTGCCATCTCTTTTCATTCTCCATAGAAGTAGTGTTCCACTAAGATCTGGGAACCATTCAGGATAAAAACTGTGGGAAATATGGGTTGGTTCTTTGGAAAGGAATTTGTGATGTTGGAGAGTCGAAAATTGATAAGAGAGGAAAACAGGAAGACAGAAAAAAAGAATATGGAAAAATTGTTTAAAGGAGAAAATGTTGGCAAAGGCTGAAATCACATGGGAACCTATCAGAAGTTGATTTAGTTCAGTTCTACATTTTATCAAATTCACTCCAATCATTGCCATTCACATTTTCATATATTTCCTAACAAATGCATTTTTGCAAGTTACATGCTATTTTGCATATTTTAGGCAACATCCAAGGGCACATTTCACAAAATTTGGAAAAGGAGAGAAAAAATAAAAGGGACTTTTTCAACTTATAGGTTAACTTATGGCTGAAGAGTGGTAAATTCGGGCCACTTTATGAAGTATTTACAATTAGATTTAAATGGGAGCCATTTCTCTTACCCACGCTTATCATCAAATGTATTCAACTAATGGCGCAGTATATATGAGAGGTCCAGTGAACTGTTCCATATAACCTATAAATGGAGAGCTTGGCATATATTGGCTTAGCAAGCACTTTCCACTAAAAGTTGTAATCTGAAGATATGAACTACTGTTACAGTTGCTATAGCATGATATATCATTCATAATAATTGGGAAATAATAAGTTCTGCATAACAGGAGAGAATCATTTTAATGTAATATTGTAGCAATGTAGTAATGTATTCCTAGTTGCCAATTGTGCCTGGAAAACTTTGGAATTGTTACACTGTATTCACTGCAAAGGAGCAAATATTTTGAACCTGAAAATCACATTGATTGGAAATAAGGTTCATTCATACATCTGTGCACCCCCTGCACATGAATATATCAATTGTCAGAGGAGAATATACCAGTATCCTAGCCACGTCTTCTGATCTGAGAATTATTACAGAGAAAGACGAAATAATGAATCTTTACTTGCTATGAGGAGCCCATGATGTGCATGTGTGCATGTGTGTGTATGTGTGTGCACGCCCATCTTGCCCAGTAATTCTAATCCTCACTGGCCATTCAATCAACTGATTGTTGGAAAAAGAAAGCACAGTCCCTGGACAATACTTTTTGTAACTAAGAATCTCATACAGCTCATGAGCTATTCATTGCTATCATGTTATATACACTTAGCTCAGGGGTAGGCAACCCAAAACACTCAAAGAGCCACTTGGACCCGTTTCCCACCAAAAACAAAACACTGGGAGCTGCAAAACCATTTTGATATCTAAAATGAAGATAACACTGCATATATCCTTTTTTACCTTTATTATAGGTGTGTGTGTGTGTGTGTTTGTGTGTGTATGTATGTGTGTGTGTGTGTGTGTATGTATGTATACACACACACACACACACACACATACACACACAGGTAAAAAAGGATATATGCAGTGTTATCTTCATTTTAGATGTCAAAAGGGTCTCTCTCTCTCTCTCTCTCTCTGTCTCTGTCCCTCCCTCCCTCTCTATCTGCCCTTGGTCTGCCTGCCACTCCTCTTCCCCCGCTCTCTTTCTTTCTCTCTCTCTCTCTTTCCTCTCTCTCTCTCTCTCCCTCTCTCTCTTTCTCTCTCTCTCTTTCTCCCCCCCTCTCCTATCTGCTGCTCACCTGACAAGCTTCAAGCTGTTGTCCAACAAGATAAGGAGTAGACAATCTCGTCTCTTTTATGACTATGGACTTTAACTCCCAGAATTCCTGAGTCAGCCTAGCTGGGCTAGCTAGCTCTCTCCTGCCCTTCCTGCTTCCTGCAGAGACGCAGCAAATGGAAGAGCTCCACCCAGTAAGCTTTTCAGCTCCTCGGAGAACACTGTGAGTGCACTCTTTTTTACACACACACACACACACACACACACACACACACAACACAAACACACACACACACACAGAGAGAGAGAGAGAGAGAGAGAGAGAAGCAGGGAAGCGCAATTCCTCTCTCTGTCTCTCTCTGCAAAGGCAGAGGAGGCTGGGAGCCGCAGGGGAAGGCTCAAAGAGCCGCATGCGGCTCCGGAGCCGCAGGTTGCCGACCTGTGACTTAGCTTATAGTGAACTCAGAGGCAGTTACTTTTGAGTAGATTTTTAAAGACTGTATTGCTGGGGTCTTCAAAAAGAATGCTAATCACTTTCATGTCCCTGGAATGACACAACAAATACTTTTTCTAGCATTGGGAGCTATGCAACTGTCATTGTCCATAATGGATATGAA